AAATATACCTACTACCTGTTTTGTTTAATATTGGTACAGAAAACTTATCAGTATAAAGTTTTACTTATCTTTAGCCTTTTTAATGCTGTTTGTAATCCTCTATGTCTATAATAATGGACAACGAGTAATTAGTAATTCTGAATATATCTATAAAAACTTTTAGTTTTAAGTACGCCTATGATGAAATGCAGCGCCCACCTTCTCCTTCTAGTCAGCGGCCATGTCAGGTCCATCAGAGTCAAGGATGAGTAGAGATAAATAAATTTAAATTTATTAATTTTAGGGCCTGCTCTATTCTAACATGTAAGAAATATTTATTGATGGATAAGTACGGCAGAGATGTAATAAAAAGCCGTTTTGTATGAATACCGAAATGGTATTTGAAGAACATATTATAATCAAATTATCAAATTGAATTGACAATAAATTTATGTGCCTGTGTTTTATAAGCCGTCTGCAGAAAATTGACAAAAGTAATAAAAAGATGACTCATGGCAATATTTATCCCAAGGCAGAAAAAGAGCATTATAAATCGATAAGAGTTCTCATTAATAATAGTAATGTGGATATATTTTCCAGAACTTACTTTAACTTTATTTAAAATTTACTTTTTTAATTTTGTACTAGTTTATAGCACTTAACAATATAATCAATCATTTGTCTGTCATCAATGTATCATATACACCTCTATAATTATTTAATACATAATCTTATACTGATTACAATGGTCGACATGTCAACAATAGAATTTGCGCTATTTACTACGTTATGTAATTAACTGATTATCTGCCATATTAGGTAACTGCGGATGTACGTCACTAACGTAATAAAGAAGCAAAAAATAACCAATATGTAGAATGTAGAATGTTTAGGAGGGGAGTTAATCACCGCGACCTTATAGATCTATTGTGTGTTCCCCTTTCTTGAGTTATAACGAGTTATAACTTATCATACAGTCTCAGGGCTTTAAGAAAAGCCAGTATCTGAGACGGCTCCACAGAGGCCAGCTCTCCATCCTCGACATCAGACGTACCAAGGTTAATGGCACGAATGGTCGTCGTCTCGGCATACTCAGTGATAAGGTGTTCTGGTGTTTCCCCATTTTCCCCACAAAATCTGCATTCGCCGTTGTTTCTCAGTTTCAGCGTACTGAGGTGTTCGTTGAGGAGACAGTGTCCTGTTAGAAACCCCGTGACAATCCGAAGATTGTTTTTACTTAAATCAAGGAAAACCTTTGATTTTTCTCGGTCATAAGTTCTAAGGAACTTTTGAGTGTCTTAGACCGTTGGAGGACACCCATTCCAAGTAACGGATGGAGTCTTCCAGATTCTTCAGTTCCGCTTTCAGTTGGTTCCCGTTTGGAAAACAGAACGGTTCTGGTCCAGTTAGTGGAGTGTTCGCTCCTTTCTAGTAGATCATTTGCTTTTTCATTGCCTTCTATCCCTTGGTGAGCAGGCACCCAGAGTAGGAGGACTTTATTTTCTTTGCCTAATTTGTTGAGCTTCTCTAGGCATTCTTTGACCAACTTCGAATTGATGGTTACTGAGTTGATCGCGTTAAGTGCTGCTTGACTATCGGATAGGATGGCAATTTCCTGTTTTCGATAGTTCCTATCCAAGATAAATTGTACGCATCTTTCGATAGCGCAAATTTCTGCCTGAAGGATACTGGGGTAGGTGCCCATTGGTTCGGAGTATTCAGTTTTCGGCCCAAATACTCCTATCCCTGTCCCTGCTTTGGTTTTGGAAGCATCAGTATACCACGTGATGGTATGGTCTTTTATATGCTGAGTAAGCGTTTCTTTCTTCCAATCCTTTTTATTACTCAATACTACAGTGAGGTGTTTCTCAAAGTTGTAAATTCTTGGTATGTCATCCACTGGGAGTTGGAGAAGTGGAATTTTCTTTTTGAGGGTGTTCCAAGCCCCTGACCTGAAAATTCTCCCAGTACTGTTTCCGTCAATGACCATTCTAATCATTGTCGCATTGGCATAACTACCGACGACAATATGCAGTGGTGTTAGGTCTAGAATGACCTCCATTGCTGCTGTTGGACATGTTCTCATGGCACCTGTGATGCAGATACATGCCAGTCTCTGTACTTTGCACAGGGTTTGCCTTGCTGTACGTTGCTCTAGTTTTGTATACCAAGCAACTGCTCCATAAGTAATCATGGGTCTTACTATCATGGTATACATCCAGCGCAAAATGTTAGGGGCGCAGCCCCACCTATTTCCCGCCAGTCTTCTGCATATCATGAGAGCCTTTGTGGCTTTGCTGGTAATGTTCTTAATATGCCTGTTCCAGAGAAGTTTACTATCCAGGGTTATTCCCAGATATTTCACTTCCTGTGATGGCAGTATTTCCTTTCCATCTAGATGGATTCTTTTCAAGTTTTTCAAACTTCGCTTTCTGGTGAATGGCACTACTGCGGTTTTATCTGAGTTAATACTCAGCCCGACAGTCCTGCACCATCTCTCAGCGATGCGGAATCCTCTTTGGATAATATCACACAGGGTGCCTTCATGTTTCCCCTGTGCAATGATGACTATGTCATCTGCGTACCCTATGCAGTGTATTCCCGCTAGAGTTAATTCTTCCAGTAGTTCATCCACTACCAAGCTCCACAGTAGGGGGGAGGTCACTCCACCTTGTGGAGTTCCTTCCGTTGTTTTAACAACTACAGTTTTGGTACCTATCTCAGCCTCTGCTGTTCGTGTTGAGAGCATTTCCCAAAACAAGCGAATTATCGTACTGTTCACCCCTCTTGTTTGAAGAGATCGCTTGACCACCTTGCGAGGTATATTGTCAAACGCCCCTGCAAAATAACCAATAAATAAACTAACCAAAAGGTTAGTTTATATATAATAATACGTGGCTTTGGGTGCCAGTTGTCATATATATGAAGAGTACAATCAACATGTTCAGTACAATACGATATACTGAGAGAGAAAAGACTATATAATACGAGAGAAGAATGAGAAGTTTATTACCTATTAAGTCGGATCGGTCGACAATAGAATTTGCGCTATTTACTACATTATGTAATTAATTGATTACCTGTCTTATTAAGTAACTGCGGATGTACGTGATTAAGTAATATCATGTTTTACGGTTAGTTTATTTAATTATACGTACACACGGCTTGGGGTGCCGATTTGCTGTCCTCCATTCGCGAATTTCAAGTTCCAGAGCTTTACGCTCTGGGCTACTCGAGAATGGTTCTGAAAGGACTGTGCGCGATAGCCTCGTGCCTCCATATGGCGCGGAACAGTTCTGAGCTTTATGACTCAATTAGATGGAGTGAGATTAGCAGAGAGATAGATTATTCAGAGCTGCACAACTGCGTGAATGGAGGACAGTAATTGTCGTGTGTACGAAGAGTACAGTCAATGTGTTCAGTGCAATACGATATAAGAGAGAAGAGTAAAAATTTTCCCAAGCGCATGAAGTAAAACGTCGCATTAAGTGGATATAATAAACTTTGGATTTGATTCTCTCCGATTTACAACATCGCCATAGCGATTCACTTCTTTACATGTAGGTAAATGCCGAGGGGTAAGCCGCTGAAATTTCTGTACACTAATACCACGTATAATGAAAAAAATGCCAACTAATACCATGATTAATACTACTAATACCAAGTAATGTATAATAATAAATAATGTGTAATAATAAGTCAACATCTTGTACACCAAAATACACCAGCGGTTTACCCCTCCCTCCGTAAATGCTGACCCAAGACCAGTGCCGCTTTATCCATTAGGCAAGATAGGCAGCTCTCTAGGGCGGCAGGCTGAATAACAAAATTTACTTGAATTTTAATAGTTGAGGGGGCGGCAAAATACAAATGGTGCCTAGTGTACCAAATCACCTTAACGCGGCCCTGCCCAAGCCTTTCTCTTGTCGATCCGGTATAAATCTATTATCTGAGACTTAAATAAATTAGAATAAAATAAACTATGTTAAAAACTTTCATGTATACTACTGAAATGAAGATAATAATTAACTGATCGGTTGTTTGTTAAATTAAATTAATTAATTAATCAATTGGACTACATTTATGGTTGTAATTTAATTTGATTATACATTTATGTGTTTATATTAACGTTATATTGTATTGTTGTATTGTACCATATACTTTGTGATTGACATGCATGTGATTGACACTGTTGTTATACTAATTGACATTTACATTTCCATATATATATATATATATATATATATATATATATATATATATATATATATATATATATATATATATATATATATATATATATATATATATATATATATATATATATATATATATATATATATATATATATATATATGCATATAGCGATGCAAAAATGTCTTAATAAAGATTTAAATAGCCAAATGCCTCGTCATCTAATTAGTGACGCGCATGAATGGATTAACGAGATTCCCACTGTCCCTACCCACCAGTCTTTGCCGAGCATCCGATGAGAGCGGACGTGCGACGCTCCGTGTCGAAAAGTGGTAAAAATTACAGTGAGTGCGAAAGAGACGAAAGACCGACAACGCGAAGGACAGTACAGTTGTGCGGAGCGGGAGTGTAGAGTAGTGGGAGTACGACACGCTAATTGAACTGGAGGAGGAGCCTGGCAGCGAGCGACGGCGCAGGGCGAAGCTTGGCGCCGAATAGTAGCGCAAGGGGCGGAGCCTGCCGGCAGCCATGCTGGCAGGGAGCGAGCGGAGCTAGGCGGGTAGGAAATAGTGGAAGGATGTGCAAAAGAGGACAAGTGTAAAGCGGGCAAATATAGGACAGACAAGGTACTGTACAAATACTTAAAAGTAAAATAGAGATAGAAATCGGGCCGAAAAGACGGTAATAGGAAAATAAAACAATTTAAAAAGTTAGTAAAGTAAAGAATAGTGAACTGCAAAGACAGCCTTAGTACTTAAGATAGATATAAGTTAGATAGTAATATAGGTGTTTAGTTAGTTGATAGACAGTAAGTTTGAGAAAACAAAATGGAGGATAAAGATCGAGCAGTGTTTAGTGATGATGAAGTAGAAAAGAAAAAGAGGGAGAAAGATAGGATGAGATACGAAGGAGAAAGCAATGAAGAAGAAAATGGGAAAGAGAATGAAGATGAAAACAAGATAGATGAGGGAACAAATATAACACTGTTAGAGGAGGAAATTAGTAATAAAGGCTTTACAAGGGCTGTACTAGAGAGGAGTTAAAAGCAATTGAAGAAGCGACCTCCAGAAGAGCTGGTGGTAAAATAAGTTTCAGAACGGAAGAGAGGGAAATAGTGAAAAGAGCGGTAGAAGAAATAAACAAAAAAATCATGGAGATCACATGGTTGTACGGAAACGAAGAAAAAGGTATGAGCAAGTGTGAGCGGCTCTTGACGGAAATGGATAGAAAATGGGAAAAGAGGTTTGAACAGATCGAAGAAAAGATAGTATATAATGTAGAGGCGAAGAAGAGAAAAAAATAAAAAGAAGAAGAGTAGAAATAAACAAGTGAATAGTAGTGAGGATGAAACACAAACAGACGAGGATATACTAAGTGAAGATGAAGGAGAAATTGAAATAAGGAAAACGTACGCACAAGTAACACAAGTAGCTAAGACGGTACAAGAAAGAAAAACCACTGCAAATACGAAGATGGAATGGAAGAAACCCACAAATAGCATAAACGAAGTAGTAGTAAAAGGAAAGGATGAGAAAGATAAACAGGTGATGAGAAAAATTAAATCAAAACTAACAAGTGAAGAGTTAGGCAGTAGTGGATTGAAGGCAGTAAGGGAATTGAAGAATGGTTTAATAATATTACAGTGCGAGAGTGAAGAACAAAAAAGAAAAGTTTATGACAAATTAAGTAAGGAAAAAGACTTAGAAGCAAGAGAGGGAAGGAAGTATAAACCGAAAGTAAGAGTAACTGAGTAAGAAAAGGACTTAGTAGCAAAGAATTTATTACTGAAATGGTTGAAAATAACGAAGAAATAAGAAACATGTTTGTGGGTAGAGAAAATGAAATTGATGACAACATTAAGGTTATGACAAGACTACCACGTATCAGCCCAATAAAAGAAAATTTTATATTGGAAGTGAGTGGGGGGGTGTTTGCAGAGCTTATTAGAAGAGGCAGGACAATAGTAAATCTGTCCTGTCACGTAGAAGAATACGAAGATGTTATAAGATGTCATAAGTGTTGCGCATTTGGACACGTTATAAAAAATTGCAGAGAAAAGGCAGTAACTTGCCACAAATGTGGAGGTGAGGGACACGTGGGTAGAGAGTGTAGAAGCGAGGAGAGGGACTGCCCCAATTGCAGGCGGGCCAAAAGGGATGAGGAGAGTCGGGGCCACAGCGCAGGCGACAGGTGCTGCCCTGTATACAAGAGCAAGATAGAAGAATTAAGGGAAAAGACGGATTATGGACAGTAAAAAAATGAAAGTAATACAAATTAATATAGGAAGAGGAAGACAAGCGGAGGATTTGGTGAGAATAAAAGCAGAAGAGGAGCAAAGGGATATAGCAATTATATTGGAACCGGGACAAGGGAGAAGAGCATGGGAGGGTTGGAGGAGATATGCAGCGGACGGTAGTGTAAGGTATGAAGTGTGGATCAGGGACAGTATAGAAGCAATAACAATAAACAAATGGACGAACAAAGACATGGTGACAATAAAACTAAATAAAATTGCACTAACAGCAGTATATGAAGAAGGGGGAAAAAAGGATTTTGGAAATGTAAAAGAAAAAGGACAAGGGAGGGAATATAAGGGAAAGTGGATCGGTGGGGGGGGGACTTTAACGCTAGAAGCGAGTTATGGGGGACAGACAAACCGATAAAAGAGCTGAAGCTGTGATAGACTGGGCGGAAGAAAGCGGACTTGTACTAATTAATGAGCAAGGGGGATTGGCAACGTTCGAAACGGTAAACGGCAAGAGTTGGATAGATTTGACGTGGGCAAGAGGGGTGGAGGTGAACGATTGGAGGGTGGAGGAAGAGGAGACGCTGAGCGATCACAGGTACGTGACGTACAATATAAAAGCAGAAATTACGAAGAGAAAAACAAAATACAACATCTGGGATTTTAAGGGTACAAACTGGGAAGATTTTGATAAGCAACTAGAACTAACGAGACCAAGAATAGAGGAGAGTACAGACAAAGAAAAGATAGACGGACAGGTAAAGAAATTTCAAAAAGCATGTCAGGCGGCATGTAAAAAGATCAAAAGAAAGAAAATTGTGATTAAAAATGAAGGAGAATAGTGGGATGCAGAGTGTATACTTATTATATAATGTATATTTATTAATAAATTTGATTTTTTTTTAATTTGGACTTTTTATTATATTTCCTTTTAAAATATAATAGATAATAAATGTAGTCATTATAATTATTCTGTTAAAATTATACTATACTGTACAAATTTTACATCACTGCTTTTTCTTACCACCTATAAAATATAAATTAATTCCATATATTTACTTTTATTAATTAACTTACAAAAAAGTATTCTTATATTCAAAATAAATCCACGTTTACATAGTTAAAAATATAACTATTTCATAGTATCACTTTATCATTTCATATTTATTATAATCCAATTATATTATGCTCCATTCGAATACCATTTATAAATATAATATATCCTCATCTCTCCATTACTATATATTTGATTCGCATGCTATAAAAATTTGTTTATTAATATCCATATATTATATATGTTATTAAAATAAATATATATATATATATATATATATATATATATATATATATATATATATATATATATATATATATATATATATATATATATATACTTATTTTAAAATTTCTATATCTTCTTGATTCTTCTATATCTCCTTGATCTACATATAATTATAGTAATTGCTACCCTTTTTTTTCCTTTAAAAGTCTTTTTAATGTTGAATCATTTTTTTTCAATTATTATAGTATAATATATAATAGTATATTTTGATCATCGTTTCTAAACTCGACACCATTTTTTTTCGATCATACGGTATATTATTTAATTTTTATTATTACATAATATTTTTATAGGTTCTTTATAAGTTTGTTTAAATTATTTTTAAACAGAATAATTTTAAATTTCTTTAATTAGTCAATTAAAATTTTAAGTACTTTTCATGCTCCTCCATCAATATATTTTAAAACTTAATATATTACTTACAATACGTGTACTTTTCAATACAATTCCTTGAATATATATTTCAATATTTTCTAAAAAAATTTCCAGGGGCATAAACATTTCTATCAAACATATTACCCTTAAGTAATTTAAACAAATCTGTTTCCATTTTTTTTAATAAACTTGAAACCATTGACATCTAAATTTTGTCTGACACCATATATTAATCTATAAAAATAATATCAATTATTCTATTTATCGAATTTAGAATTATTTAATGAATAATATACAAAATCAATAAATATATTTTTTTCAGAATGACGAAAACAAAGGTTAACGGCAAAAATTCCTCCTTGGATAATAATTCGCCACTAGATCTTCAAATAATTCTTCTTCTATAATTATTAATAAAAGAATTACTCGTAGTTCAACTAAAAATAACAAAGAATTAAAAGTTCTTCTAAATAGGCTTCCTCAAACAATAAGTCAATCTCAATCTTCTTCTAATATTTCTAAAGAAATACGAGTAATATTAGAACCAATTAATTTTAATAATCTTCATTTAACTCCCTTGCACGTTAACCTTACACGTTTAAAAGATACACCCAATGTAAGTAACGAATTAACACCAATTAGGACTCGAAATTGGTCAAATAATTTGCGTCGTGTTAAATATAAAAACAAAAATATTTTGGCAAGTTCACAACAGGATCCACCTCTTCAAAATTTGCGTATTAATACAAACAGATTACCGGATATTAATCAACAGACCCAACATGATCCCATCATTGAACAACAATCACTTCAAAATTTGCGTATAATTTTAAATAGATTACCGGAAATACCACAACCGACAAACGCAACTAACGAACCACCGAGGAGGGCTCCGGTAATCACTCCTCAAAAACTAACGTGGCAACAACGTATGGCTCTTAAAATATAAATAGAAACGTAAGACCAACACAAACATACCGTGATGGTATTACAGTTTCCGCGGCGGAGGTGGAAGAAATTTGTACAAATCGAGTACATAACTTAGGCCCGATGGAGATAACATGCCTCCATTGCGGTGCGATGTTCTTTGCAATAGAACGTCATGCCGTCAAAGGAGTAAGATCTTGGGCATGTTGTAAGGGCGGTAAAATCGTGTTATCGCCTTTACGTCCGATACCTGCAGAATTGATTGAATTATTCACCGGAGAAGGAGAATGGTCCAATCAATTTAGGGATTAAATTCGGTTCATCAATGGTTTGCTAGCGATGGCCTTTAAAACGTCCGTTCCGGGAGATGCTGACAACCAAACTGGCCGTTGTTTTGCTATTAGCGGTCAGATTTTTCATTTTACAAATCCTTCGAATAATACTCAAAATTTAACCGCTCCTAAGTTAAATCAATTTTATTTTATTGGCGTCGATAAAGGACAGGTCGATAGAACACTAGTCGATAAAATCGAACGTGTTCTTCGACGCGTTAATCAGTATATTAACTTATTATTATTATTATTCGCGAAATACGAACGAAATCGCGAAGATCAGGTAGAGGGGATACACTGATGTTGTATTGGCGTTTTGCGATAATATCAACGAAAAACGCCGAACACATCATTTACCAGAGAGTCGTTCCGATATTGCGGCTCTTTTATCGGCGAAGACCCTCCATTTGACGTCGAATTAAAAATATATCCCCGATTAAGCAAATTAACATCCGCCCAATCACTCAGAACATCAAGACCTGCCGATTCCGTTCAGACAGAACTTGACGAGGAAACTTTGGAGGAACTCTTTCAGTCGCAATCACAAACAAGACTACCACCGACTAATCAACTCCACCATCAGTTGAAAAATTTAAACAAATTAGCAGATCCGATGGTATATCCGTTGTTGTTTCCTGAAGGCGACTACGGTTATACTATCGAGTTAAAAATGTCTGACGGGGTAAGTCAAATTACATGTCGGCAATTTTATCGCTACAGAATGCAAATTCGCCGAGGATTTAGCGCCATCCATTCCCAACAACCCCTATTTTATAGTAGAGTTGGGCCTCATCAAGTTCATTATAAGTGTGCTTCCGAGAGGGATAATGCACCTTGTATGCCAGACGGTAAATGTCGCTTTGACTATCCGCATTCATTTTGTAGCGATACAGAATTTAATGCGGGTAACAATCAACGGCCCAAATACCCTCGACCAAACAATGGCCGTATTATTCTACTTGCGAACGTGAGTTTGCCGATAGGCAATCGTCCCCTACAACTCCTACGCGCTCGCCAAATATAACTATTATATAAAACTCGTAGTTGTAGGGGCAGCGGCTACCATCAAATACTTGCAAAGTATTTGATGAAGGACGGAATCGTGTGTCTATCGACGTTAATGACGGAAATAGTCGCAATGACGAAATACATCGTTATGTTGAGTGTCGGTACGTTAGTTCGACAGAAGCGGCCTGGAAATTGTTAGAATTTGACATTTTCAAAAGGTCGCACTCTGTCGTTCTTCTCCCCGTACATTTACCGGGCTACAGAGATGTTCTACATGACAACAATCAAGATAATTTAACTAAGAAGAACTAAATGCTTTGTTAAGTAAAAAATCAAAATTAGAAGGTTTTTTCGAACTAAATAGAAACGATCCAGATGCTAGGCGACATTTTTACGTGGATATAACCGAATTTTATTGCTGGAATGTAAAAAACGCTAGATGGACCCGTCGCGTCGTGTAGCAAAACAAGCCGTTATAGGAACAGTATGTGACATACCACCGTCACACACAGAATCACAACTGGA